GGAGCCGCACCGCCGGGCACCCAGGCTCCGGTGCCAGGCGGAGGAGCCGCAGACGTGGGTTTGGGAACCCGCACGTCGCCTCCAGTCAGTTAGTCACGGATCCGTTCTGGCAAGAATGTCTTTGACTTGTTACATAGTCATACAAATCGCGCGGGGAACCTGCATTCCTGGTCCTGCTTAACCGCAGGGACACTTAACAAACGCAACTGTGGTGAGTTTCAGTTACTCCCCAGGTTAATGCAAGTGGCTCGGCCTGGCCCTTGTGCAAGTCGGTGCAAGCCCCTCCCCCTCCTCTGGCCTCCGAGAGGGAAGCTCTGAGGGATGGGGTGGCTGAGACCACAGGGCAGTGACGGCCATTGGCGGCCAGGCCAGTCATTCCCCCCGAGCCTGGTCCCCAGGAGGCTGTCAGCACTGCCTCTCAGGGCAGAGAACAATGCCAAGTAGCCCCTGAGGAACTGGCAGTCACTTGGCAAAATCTGTGAAAACTTTCAAGTTATGTCAATGCATGGACTCACTTGAACTGCAAAGCCATTCGGAAAGGGGGCGTGGCGGACGGGCGGGGAGGGGGTGGCATATAAGGAGGCAGAGCGCAGAACTGGCCATCGCCTTTTAACATTAGTGCCCTGACCTTGGGCAAGTCCCTTTTCTTCCTGGGCTCCATTTCCCTCCCCTGGAGGGATGTTTCCGGGTGTAAATGGAGCAATCTCCTCGGAAGTGCTTTGTAAGTTGTAAAGCTCTTCATTAATATCAGGAATTACTGACATCGTCCCACTTACCAGCTGAGGACAGAAGGCCAGGGATGTTGATGACCAACATTTGCTGTTCACACATCTAGTCCATCCACCGAGGTCAAAACTTCGTTTTTACTTTTGCTGTTGTTTTAAACTACATGGTACCTGGCTAGCATAGTCACCAAATGTGATGTGTCTTGTTTTCCTCTCGATGCATACAGTCAGGAGAAACAGCGCAGTTTGCAATAAGCTCCACATACACTGTCTCTGGTAATCAATTAATCTTCGAGGGTTTTTTTTTTAATGCGGGGTTATGACTATGCTACGTAATAAACTCATGTCTTTATGAGGCTTATTATAAAAATGTTATAATTTTAAACTCAGAAACACACCATTAGGTTCTGGCTGAAGTGAAACTCAGTATTAGTTTTCTCGTTGTCTACCCTCAGAAATTGCTTATGATCACCAATGCATAGTGTTATGTCATCAATCTGTACTTCAAATACCCCTGGAAACCAGCGCTGACACCAATTTCAACCCCAAGTGCTTTTATATTTGAGACTCATTTCAGATTCATTGATGAAATGAAGAAACTATAAATATTCTTTCCAGACACAGAAAGATTAAAACGATATTAAATTGAAAGTCCAATGTATGTAATATGTTTATTCAACTTCCTTGGGGTTTTAAGAATAGCTGAAAAGATTAAAGCAATAGATCTTGGACATGGCAATATTCTAGATTATTTCATTCAGAAACGGTCTTCTTTAATGCGGCCTTCTGTTTTGATTTTAAGAGTAAATCTATGCTTTTTGTGATGAGATCTGGGATGTTTCCCTTTGGGGTCTTAAATCTTCAGGGACACTAATGAAATGTGTATGAAAACAAGAGAGAAATCGGGCCAGTTCTCTGTGACAACCCACCTCTAAATGAGCAAATAAATAAACAAATAGCTGGATAAAGGAGCAAAGAGGAAAAACATAATCTTATTTTCTCAAATCCGTTGAAACCAGTGACATGATGAGGAAAAATGAGACCCCAGCAGACCCTGCGCTTTGCCACATTTGCCTAAGCTTGAAAAATCGCCTCTTTCCTGGAGCAGGAGCAGGCGGACACCATGTGCATACCAAGCACCAGGAAATGGGAGAGATGACAGATCTTTCACTCAGGGCCCCAGCGGAGGGAGAGCGGGGCTTTAAGGCCGCCTCCTCCGCGCTGGACCGGCTGGCCCCTCTCTCAGCCTCTTACAGGCCGCCCCGCCGTCCCCTACCCGGTAAGATTGATGGCGCTCGGGTCCCAAGCAGCCAATCGCAGTCTCTCAAGAATGAGCCACCGCACTGACAGATGCCTGGAACTGATCCCAGGCGCCCCTGTTCCGAGTGTGCGGCACCTGGATGGCACCAGCCAGCCAGGGTCTTCCGAGGAAACGGCTCGAGATGTGGGCCAATTTCTGCTGTCAACACATGGAACCAGCGCGGTGCTTTTGTGAGACCGCGAATTGGGGCTCTGCCTTCTCACTGCAGTGGGTGTGTACACACACAGAATGAGAATATGTAAACGAGAAAACGGGCAGATTTTAATATATTCCCCTGCAGTCCCTAAGCACTTCCTATTTTTCGTCCTCGCAGTGCTAGGAACGAACCATTTATTTTCAGTTACTCACTAGTTAAGGAAGATTAAAACAGTCAATCAAATGAAAGTGAATTTTAAAGTTACACAAATGAGTAAAATGTGCGATAGATTAACAGATTTGTAATTGCAATAATTTAATATTTGGCTAAATCGCATTTTTATTGCGGGAATAATGTAGGAAATTGCTATACCAACTTGAAGAACACTCACGCCTATTATATATGCAGTACAGCGAGGAGGAGGGCACTCCATTGAGAAAGGCAGCCTAACCAAGGATCCTTGACAGTGGATTTCGCTGTCCAGGGGGTTAAAACAGCTTCAAGTCCTTCTAATCACCAGTTGTTGGGTAACAGATAAAAAAGGATGAATGGTTTGCTAAATGTAACTTTCTAATTTAGCATTAGTTTCCTCCCTTATGAATATATGAATTATGACAGCAATTTAAATGGTTACTTAATTTCAAATGTGAGGGTGTGTGGGTGTGTGTGTGAAGGGTTGTCCTTGAAACTTAATAAAATATGGATAATTTCAAAACACTTTAGTGAGAAAAGATCCTTGAGAGTCTCTAGTAATTTAAAATTATGTAGATAAATTACATGAGACAAGAAGTTATAAGAGCCTAATGAATCATTTATTCTGCAGTCACTGCTATTTTATTGACAGGGATGTAGGGAAATGATGTATAAAAAGATTGCTCTGAATAGAATCATCTGTGTAACTTGCACCTAGCCTGATTTAAAGCTATATTAAGTAAACTCTATATTTAGAGGTATGCATTTATGACTTAATTATTACACACTAAACATTACCATTCATTTTAAAGTGTTTTTAAATTAAAATATTAAAAATCATTGCTTCATACTTATTTTTACCTCACTGTTCCTTATTACTTTATTGAAAGCTGCCAGAGGCTTATGCATTAGAATGCCAAGGCATTGCAATAAAGAGTTCTTTTAGCAATTGTAATATAAATAGAAATAGTGAGGACAATAGTGACAGCATATTGCTTTTGAAGGATTTGGACTAGTATAAGGCTGCTGAGTTAGTGAATTGGTGTAAAGTTTAGAGCAGACAGGTTGATATTTGGTGTAAGCTGATGCTTGTGATAACCCATTGATCATCTGTTTGATAATACTGACCTCATCCCAAAGTCAGAGGGCAGCTATGGACAATTGAGAAGACCCCAAATTTCAA